TTTTGCAGCTTCACAGTGTAGAATATTTGATGCAGTCAATTCTGCAGCTCCACATAGTGCAGTATATTTGATGCAGTCGATTCTGCAGCTCCTTGATGCAGCATGTTTGATGCAGTCAGTTTTGCAGCTTCACAGTGTAGAATATTTGATGCAGTCAATTGTGCAGCTCCACACAGTGCAGTATATTTGATGCAGTCGATTCTGCAGCTCCATACAGTGCAGCATATTTGATGCAGTTGATTCTGCAGCTTCATGATACAGCATATTTGATGCAGTCAAATCTGCAGCTCCATGATGCAGAATATTTGATGCAGTTGATTCTGCAGCTCCACACAGTGCAGCATATTTGATGCAGTCGATTTTGCAGCTACACACACTGCAGAATATAAGATGCAGTCGATTCTAAAGCTCAACAGTGCAGCATATTTGATGCAGTCGATTATGCAGTTCCACACAGTGCAGCATATTTGATGCAGTCGATTTTACAGCTCCACACAGTGCAGCATATTTGATGCAGTCGATTTTACAGTTCCACAGTGCAGCATATTTGATGCAAACAGTTTTGCAGCTCCAAGGTGTAGAATATTTGATGCAGTCAATTCTGCAGCTCCACACAGTGAATTATATTTGATGCAGTCAATTCTGTACCTCCACAGTGCAGCATATTTGATGCAGTCAATTCTGCAGCTCCATGATGCAGCATATTTGATGCAGTTGATTCTGCAGCTCAACAGAGTAGAATATTTGATGCAGTCGATTATGCAGCTACACACACTGCAGCATATTAGATGCAGTCGATTCTAAAGCTCAACAGTGCAGCATATTTAATGCAGTTGATTCTGCAGCTCCACACAGTGCAGCATATTTGATGCAGTCGATTATGCAGCTCCACACAGTGCAGTATATTTGATGCAGTCGATTTTACAGCTCCATACAGTGCAGCATATTTGATGCAGTCGATTTTACAGTTCCACACAGTGCAGCATATTTGATGCAGTCAATTCTGCAGCTCCACACAGTGCAGTTATTTGATGCAGTCGATTCTGCAGTTACACACAGTGCAGCATATTTGATGCAGTCGATTATGCAGCTCCACACAGTGCAATATATTTGGTGCAGTCGATTTTACAGCTCCATACAGTGCAGCATACTTGATGCAGTCGATTATGCAGCTCCACACAGTGCAGTATATTTGATGCAGTCGATTCTGCAGCTCCACACAGTGCAGTATATTTGATGCAGTTGATTATGCAGCTCTACACAGTGCAGCATATTTGATGCAGTCAATTCTGCAGCTCCACACAGTGCAGTATATTTGAAGCAGTCAATTCTGCAGCTCCACACAGTGCAGTATATTTGATGTAGTAAATTTTACAGCTCCACACAGTGCAGCATATTTGATGCAGTCAG